GAGGAGGAGAATAGAGAGGGTGGGGCTTCAAGGAAGGGGCAGGGTTGTAGATCTTGGCTTGGTCTGTCATTTAAAAAGTGATCTTGGGTGTAAAAAGGTTGGAGATCACTGGTCTAGGCCATCCATCAAGTTTTTCAACATCTTAAATGACTGCTTCTGGGAGCAGCTGCTCCCAGGACCCACAAAAGGGAAGGCAATTTTTGATTTAGTCCAAAGTGGAGTATAAGATCTGGTCCAAGAGGAGAATATAACTGGACCACATGAAAATAGTGACCATAATACAATTAAATTTAACATCTCTATGGCAAGAAAAACACCACAGCAACCTCACATGATGGCATTTAATTTCAGAAAGGGAAATGACACAAAAATGAGATAAATTAAACAGAAATAAAGTATAGTGTCGAAAGTAAAATCTCTTCAAGATACATGGAAACTTTTCCAAAACACCTTAATAGAAGCTTAGCTTAGATGTATACTCCCAATTAAAAAACACAGTGAGAGAACCAAAAAAGTGCCATTGTGGTTTAACAACCAAGTAAAAGAAGCAACGAAAGATAAAAAGGCATCATTTAAAAAGTGAAAGTTAAATCCTGGTGAGAAAAATAGAAAGGAGCATAAACTCTGTCAAATTAAGTATAAAAATATAATCTGGAAGGCCAAAAAGGGTTTTGAAGAACATCTAGCTTAAAAAAAAATAGCAAACTTTTTAAAGTACTTTAGAAACAGGAAGCCTGTTAAACAACCTGTGGGGCCATTGGATGATCGAGATGATAAAGGAGCACTCAAAGAAAATAGTCATTGAGGAGAAATTTAAGTAATTCTTTGCACTTGTCCGCCTGGCTGAGGATTTGAAGAAGATTCCAAAACTTGAGCCATTCTTTTTAGGTAACACATCCGAGGAACTGTTTTTTAGATTGAGGAGTCATTAGACGAACTTTTGGAACAAGTAGATAAACTAAATGGTAACAAGTCACTAGGACCAAATGGCATTTTCCCAAGTGTTCTGCAGTTTCACACTTTAATACTTTTAGATCTACTAACTGTGCTAATGTGACAGCAGTTTTTTAAAAAAAGGCTGTAGAGGTGATCCTGGCAATTACAGGCCTGTAAATCTAACCTCAATACTAGGCAAATTGGTTGAGAACAGTATTGTCAGACACACAGATGAACATAATTGATTGGGAGAAGTCAACATGATTTCTGTAAGTGGATTTGTTAAATTAGGTAAACTTGAATTGAGTAAGAAATTTTGATTTATAAGAAATGAGTTACATTTGTTTATTTCATCATGAAAGAACTCAGTAGTTTATTAGGATTTACTACCAGCAGTAAATCACTTTTTGTGATATGTTTGTGGTGACAAGAACTGAGGTGTCTAGTTAGTGCCTGTTAGAATGACAGCCAGTGTTTGGGTGGGAGGGGAAAAAATCTTCAGAAGTATTTGCCAGATTTTCACAAGTGGCAAAAATATTGTTTATGTAGATTAAAATGTTCATTATAAACCAAGAATACTCTCAATGCTCATTTGTATAGCTGTATCACATCTTTTTTTATTTTAAGTCTTACAATGAAGAAGACTGAAGTAAAAGCTAGGGTAAAAATTTGAATCATATGGATATACAGTAAAACTCCCAATAGTCCAGCACTCCTGATAGTCCGGCATCAAAATGGCAAGAGCCTAGTGAGTGAGCTTTGGCAAAAAATGAGTCACAAGGTAACAGCGGCAGCAGCTGAACTAAGCAAAAAGGGTAAAAAGGCTTTAAAAAAAAACTAAAACATTACAGCAAAATGCAGGACAATGTAGCACTTTAAAGACTAACAAGAAGGTTTATTAGATGATGAGCTTTCGTGGGCCAGACCCACTTCCTCAGATCAAATAGTGGAAGAAAGTAGTCACAACCATATATACCAAAGGATACAATTAAAAAAATGAACAAATATGAAAAGGACAAATCACATTGCAGAACAGGAGGGGGATGCAGGGGGGGGGAAGGAAGGAAGGTAAGTGTCTGTTACTCTGCCAGTGTAAAGTGGAAAATAAACAGGAGTTAGAATAGCTATGGAAACCTTAGTTGTAGGTGAAACAAAAGACAGGACTATGCAGCACTTTACGCATAGTCTTGTCTTTTGTTTCAGCTAGACCAGACTAACACGGCTGCATCTCTATCACTTAGTTGTAGGAACATCTTGACCAAAATGCTTGATCTTGCATCCAAAATACTGTATTAGTGCTAGTTTTTTTTCATTTAATAATGACTAGGGCTGGCTGTCACACTATCATGAATCCTTTGACTTCTGCAATTTCCAGTAAAAGTCATGGCTGCTCAGTAGCCTTCTGCAGAGCTCCATTAGCTTTCATATTTAAAATTATTACATTTCTAACCCTGATGATTATGAAGGTAATCTTTCAAATATGAATCAAGTGTAACACATATAAGGCTGCCTCCCTAGCAACAAACAGCAATTTCTAGAGAACATTCCTTTTTACTACAGAAAGATGGTTCAGCGATGACAAGAGCAGACTTATAAAACCATCTTATTTAGGAATATATATAAAACAAAACCTAAAATAATTTATACGAAAACTTTATCTACTTCTTAAATATATTATTGACATTTCCTATTTGACAGGAAATAACACATTTGGTATAATTTTAAAATGAAGATTTTAAAAGTCCATTTTGAAAAAAATTACCGTTACACATTTTTAGTTTTTCCAACTAAAATTGTGAGTTGTATTTTTGAAAAACAAAACAATGATTTTTCCATTTTTTCGCCACAACACTCAGCCAGCTTTAACAAATATTCCAGGACATGCTATAAGGTCTGATCACAATTAAGGCAATTATAAAGGGATTTAGTAGATTGTAATTGGGAGCTCAAATGCAGCAGAGATAAAACAGAATATATTGTGTGTGTATGTATATATATATATAAATATAAATAATATAAAACCAGTTTATAGTACCTCCTGATAGTCCGGCATATTTGATAATCCAGCACCACCTAGGTCCCAGAGGTTCCGGATTATCGGAAGTCTACTGTAATACAATTTCTGTAAATATACAAGTGATCATGTGTGAGATGATTGGATACCTGCATCTGAATTTGCTCTACTTTGTCGTTGAGCTTTAAAAAGATGAGTAAACCAGGTAGTGGTTTTTTGGATGGTAGATGCTAAGGATCAGAGACACTTGCATTTAGAGGGTAAAAACCTCAGATCTTTATATAAGCTTACTAACAAATAAAAAAAATGCCAGACTGTAGTGTTCTGCAAACATTAAAGTTAGATTAGTGTTGTAAGTGCTGTTAAAAATCTCACCTGGAAAGTACAGTGAGATCAATTGAAGATGTCAATAATCAAGTGACAGTTTTCTGGTAGGTGAGTCTCATGCCACATAAGGATTTTTTTAGATGAAAACCAGCACCATAAACTGTATCTATAAACTAGTAGAGCACCAACGAAGCTTATGAGGTACTGGTTCTATGGTCACGTTGCTATCTTCAACTCCAGGATTTATGTGACTGGCTAGAGTGCTTGGCAGTATCCCAGTTGATTTGTGCAACTTATAGTACTAATGAAGCAATAACTAACTGCACAGAATATTGCGTATGAATGATCTATGTGAAACTAGTGTCAGTTTCTAATAGGGATGTTAAATGTGTTCAAGTAAATATGTAACCACTCAAAATTTCAGAAGTTACACGCAGGGGAAGAGGGGTAGCAGGCGGCTCCCCAGGAGCTGATTTTCTCCTGTCCTGTTCCCCTGCACTGCTGCCTCTGATATGGAGGCAGCAGCACAGCGAGGAAGGGGGACCCTGCATGTAATGGTGAACGTAACTGATGAACTCATGCTCTTTGATTAATTGTGTACATGGTTACACTTTCACAGCCCTAGTTTCTAAATTACTATAGGTTGGAGTTCTCTGGTCCAGCACCCCTCAGGACCTGATCAGTTCTGGATCAGGGCAGCTCAACACTGTCCCCTCTGATACTGGCCAATTAAAGTGGTTTACATTCCTAGTTTCCTACTTGTTGATTTATTAAAATTGGACATTTAAATCAGTGATTTTAATCTATATATTGCCTGTGCCAATTAACCTGTCTCTACTTTCATGTTGTTCTCTTCCCTTGGCTTTCCCACTCCCCCATCTAGAAGGTTAATTATCTGTTGTGTATCATAGGTCAGAGAACGTACCTGGGGCAGATGCTGGGCCTGGGGCAGAAGTGATGAATCTGTCACTTCTGGGACTGGCCAGTTGTGCCAGCCCATAGGGCCCTCCAAAACATGGGGCCTAGAGCAGTTGTCTAGATTTGCTGTACCCTAGGGATGACTCTTTCATAGATTTTGAGCTTCCTATGGCAAGGACAGTCTTTGTGGCTGCTTTTGCACAGTATGTTGTATAGTGGAACCTTCATGTCTGTTTACAGTCCTTCTTAGGCTCTGCCACAATAGTAATACTAAATGATAAAGGTTGAACCTTTCTAGTCCAGCGCTCTCTGGTCCGGCAACATCAGGGTTGCAATAGGATAGTACCTGTAAGAAATTTACTTTTACAATCTAGATTGAGTTAACAGAGTTAGTGGTTTAAAAAAGCAGGCATCTTTTTGCCTGTAAGTAAATATAATCTAATTCTTGAGACACAAGATGTAGAACCCTTTGGATTCCAAAGGTTATATATACAGACTTTAGGAAGTCTGGTATTTTAATATTAGGATTTTTTCCACATGGTATTTTTTAAGGCATCACATGGAAAGCATCATAATATTCTTCAGGGTATTACGACGGTTATGTAATAGGTAAGCCAAGTTCAGATACCCCCAACATCTGAATGTCATACAGTAATCAGCAAGGTGTACGATCTCAGTCACAAAAAAGCAGAAGTGTACACTGCTTGTGTGTGTGTGTGTGTGTGTTTGTGGTTTAAAGCACTTTGATTTTCAAACTTAACATGGACCTTATTGAACTAACTGAAATATTTTTGCTCCTTTCCAGTTTAGGTCTAATATCAGATTCCTTTCATATGTTCTTTGACTGTACTGCTCTATTGGCTGGATTAGCAGCTTCAGTCATTTCGAAGTGGAGATCAAATGATGCTTTCTCATATGGGTAAGACATTTTAGCTGCTTATATCATAGGAAATATATTTTCATAAGTGCAAAGGTTGCACTTCATGTTTCCATGCCAATTGTAGCATTACTTCTAAAATATATTTTGTAGAAACAATTATCTGTTTATAAAGAAGGGTAAAGTACTGAACTTAACCTGAGTTTCATTAAATTGGCATGTAAGTCTATCCTAGAGAAGAGCTGCATAGTCTAGTATATATTTTAGAGAATTTGTGCATCTGTGTGTCCATGAATCCATTTGTTCAAGAACTTCTCTTAAACAGTAGGACTTAGAAGCAAAAATTTGGTATGCAGCTTCCTCTTATCAGATCTTAAAGCAAGATAAGGGTTTGGCTGTGCTAGGATAATGGGATGTGTGTGGAATCTGATTTTCTCATTAAACAGAAAAGGAAGGGTCGGATAGCAGGGACAGTTATGCTTTGCAATGATCACAAGACAGCAGCAAGTATGGGAGACAGTTATATTGCAGAGTGATCACAGGGGGGTGGCCACACCTGGGAGACACTGCATGTTGCAGGCTGCCAGCCACAGGTAAGTGGCTCTCCACCCCAAACCACTGCCTCTCCGTCTCAGAGCTGGGCACAGGGAGGGAGCTCCGCTGCTGCAGTCCTTCCCCGTCCCACCAAGGAACAGCAACCCTTGCCACTGAGGCACCCCCAGGGAGCTGCTGCAGGCCAGCTTTGGGGCTCCCTTGAGCTCCCCACACTTCCCAACCCCTTCCCCTGAGCCCCTCCTCAACTCTGACTTGTATCCCCCCCCCACCACCAGACCCCTGCCCTGAAGAACCTGAGCAATGCCAGGTAAGTGTTCTGGTTATAAATAAAATAAGTGTTATTGTTTTTAGTGTGAAGTTTAAGATGTTCTCAATTATTTGCTGATTGATATTATTGGAAACAAAAATCCTGTTGCAAAACAAAATGTCATGTTGCATATTGTTCAGCTGCTATTGATAGTTTTTGTCTGCTAGCATCCACCCTCATGGGTGACAAACCAAAGTTGAAATGGCTTTTTCTTTCTGTCTTTCACCAATCTTAACTTGAATATTCCCTATATTGGAATGCAGAATACTACACTAAATTGGTTCTGGTTTCCTTGTTGAAAAATGGAGTGGTTGAAACACTGGTTGTGTATTTTAAAAACATCAGTTTGGGTCCTTAGTGAAAATTGACTTGTTACTTACATTTTAGTAGGAGCAGTCATCCATATAAAGCTATGAACAGTAGGCAAAATAGTGCTTTGATGGCTCTATACATATACCTGGAGCATGAACATGCTCTTCCTATTGTGGCTTATGTGAGGCTATGTCTACAATACCTCTTTTTTGGCAGAAGAGGCAATGCAAATGAAGTATTCATTAGCAGCAACTGGTGCTTCATTTGTATATTCTCGTCCAATGCTTTTTGTGCCAGAGGTTTTTGCACAAAGAGTAGATAGGTCTGTGTTGCGCAAAAAATCTCCGTATAAGATCTTGCACAAAAGGGGTTTTTGTGCAAAACGGACCCGTCTACTTTGCTTGTTTTTGCGCAAAAATCTCTGGTGCAAAATGCATTGGACGAGAATATGCAAATGAAGCACGAGAAGTTGCTAATGAGAGCTTCATTTGCATTGCCTCTTTGGCCAAAAAAAAAAAAAAAAGGCAGTGTAGACATAGCCTTAGTGGGGAAGATTTTAGAGTACTGAACGAAGCTTTATTCTAGTTCTACTTCATGCGAATCCCACATATGGTGCAGCAACATCCCTTGCACAGGTGTTCTCCAGTAGGAGTTGTTCAGGTGCCCTTTATGCCCACTCATTGCACTTCACCCTCTTCCTTCATGGGCATAAAGGAGCAGCATGACCTGTTGAGCCTCGGTTCCTTCTAACTGCTTTTTTGGCAGTGAGTGGGATGCTTTGTCATGATTTAGCTGCTAGTATAGTTTGTTACTGTTGCAATTTATTAGCCTTTTAACTTCGTTGTAGTTATTGGCTTCTTAATTCATTCCGTGCTTGTGTCCCCTCAGAATGTGCTATCTGCACAACTTTTATAAGGTACACCTAGAAATTTGAACAGACTGAGGTTCCTTCTAATGGAGAACTCTGAGACCCCAAACAGACTGACATGCTAGAGTTTAAAGGACTCTCAGGTTTAATGGCCATGGCCCTATTTGTCAGTGCCCCAGAGACCAGAGAAGTATTGCCAAATTTTGTGACTCCTAAGAGTAGGGAGCAGCACTTGAGCTATTCAGTTAGGTAAATTGCAAAGAATGGGGGAGCCACTCCCCAAAGCTGGTGGATAATCTAGTACTTAGCTTTACCATAACAGCTTCTATAATACCTTACTGGTTACTCAGAATCCAACAACACACCTCCCTTAAAGCAGTGGTCTCCAGCCTTTTTATGCTCAAGTCCACTTTTTAAATTTAAGGGCAAACCAAAATCTACCTCACTCTTTTCCTGTAGCCTCACCCTAATCGCTCCATTCCCCACCCCTTACCACTTGCTTCCTCTCCCCGCTTACTTTTGCTGGATGGGGCTAAGAAATGCAGGTGCAGAAGGAATAAGGAGTGCAAGCTCTGGGAGGGTGTTTGGGTGCAGGAGGGGGACTCTGGACTGGGGCAGAGTGTTTGGGGGCAGGAAGGCGGTATGAGCTCATGGCTCTGGGAGGGGATTTAGGTGTGACTTGTTGAGAAATATGGATATAATATGGAGAAATAGTGCTCTGTCTTGGCACTACGGGGCAATACCGAGTAAATCTGCTAATGTTACATATTTTTTTAAAAGTCGCTATAACTATAATTACTCCAGCCAGGACAGGCTAGGCATTTTAGAACTCAAAGAATTAAATTTAAGTGTAAGGGGGAAAAATGCATAGACCAATCAAAACACTAAAATAACATACTTTTGAAAAAATAAAATAACAGAGAATATTTGTGCAGTGCATAAAGTACCGTGAAGTAGCAACAACAATAATACAAGTTTGTTTTGGGAGATGAGTGTGAAAGACAGTATGTGTATGACCTAGTGTGTGTATGTAACACAGAAGATGTGTGCATGGGTAACAGTGTATGCGCTGTGTTTGGGCCACATTGTTGGCTAATGCGGAATAAGTACATTTCTGGGAGATGCCATGAGCTATCTCTTTAAGGCACTGAAAGCTCTCCTGCTCTTGTTCCTGAGCCCTGTTGTCTTCCTTTACCTGATCTGTAGAGATGAGGTATGAGAAGAGGTGGCAGGGAGAGCATGTATGCGACAGACTGTGCGAGCTGTCTGTTCGGGAAATTTCTAAACAGTGCACTATCCCTTTTAAGAAAGGCACTGCACTGAGTCCTATACCACATTTCAGAGGAAATTGCTTGGAGTCCTCCTGAGCCAGGCTGTGCCCTCTCCCAAGCTGTGGAGATGGGACTGCCTGATCTGCGTGCTCCCCTTCTCCCCTACTTCCATATAGCTAGCAGGAAGATCCCAGGAGCAGATGTAGGACAAGGAAGATAGGCTGAGACATTTGAACCCAAGCTGCAGACTGTGCAGGCTCTGCTAATCAGCAAGCATGCCTTACTACTGGGGTCGCAGTTAACTGGGAGAGTCTCCAGGATCGTCCAGTTGATTGCGATTGACCAATTGGTGACCACTGCTTTTAAAGAAACTCACCCTTAGGCTTCCACCCAGACACCCAAGTCAAATGTGATGAGGATGACTGAAAATCTTATTTATTATATCAGAAAGTTCTACCAATCCTAGACGATGAGACCCATCATGTCCCAGGTTAATGAATATTTCAGCTTATCCAAATACATCCAGCCAGTTATAAAATTTAGTTTTTTAATTAAAAAGAGAGATTGTTGGTTAAAAGATCAGCACAGACAGATTTGTATACAGTACTGAGATGAGATTTGTAGTAGAGATGTTGAGCTTTGTAGATGCAAAGAGTTCTGACAGAATTAGGCCTGGGGTTATAGTCCAGTGTGCGTATTCAGGGTGAATCCAAGTAGTCTTGAAGGTCTCAGTCTTGTGATTCAAACTTCCCCCAATGAAGCTTAAATAGATATGAGATTAAAAAGGATCAGATCTCAAGTGTCTTCATATAGTCCTAGGCTTCTTGTCACAGGCAAACAATAGGCAATTATGGACTCTTCCCAATAGACCTATTTTGCAAGCATCTCTGGTAGTTTATTTATATGGATTAACATGAGGCAAATGCTTTCTTCTGTTCACAGCTGATTTACTATACAGGCAGTCCCCGGGTTACGTACAAGATAGGGACTGTAGGTTTGTTCTTAAGTTGAATCTGTATGTAAGTGGGAACTGGCGTCCAGATTCAGCCGCTGCTGAAACTGACCACCAGTTCCGACTTACATACAGAATCAACTTAAGAACCCCAGGCGTCCCCAAGTCAGCTGCTGCTGAAACTGATCAGCGGCTGATTCCAGGAAGCCCGGGGCAGAGCTACTCTGCTTTGGACTTCCTGTAGTCAGTGCTGGTCAGTTTCAGCAGCGGCCGACCTTGGGACGCCACGGGGATGGTGTCAGG